TGTGTGTGTGTATGTATATGTATATATATATATATATATATATATATATATATATATATGTGTGTGTATTTGTCTTTTATATATATTTATACACATTTTATGTATGTATACTGTATGTATTTTAGATTTTTTTTTTAAGTTTATTTAAAGTAACGGGAGTTTTTTCATGCTTTTAGTTTTAGTTAACTATAATAACCATGGTTTGAAATGTATTTGTGTGATTAATTGGAGCAAAAGTGTTTGTGTTTGTGCAGCGTTGTGCAATGGAGTTTGAGGTGAAGGCCTTCTGTGCAGAAAATCAAGATGAAAAAGCCCAAAAGAGGTAAGAGAAGTCACAATCGAGCAGTATTCATTTCCAGACCAACATAAGACCCCCTAAAAGATCAAAACCAGACCAGTACAAGACACCTTGAGGCCCAGAACAGGTCCTTGCAAAATGAAAACTGTGACCCGGCCCTGCATCTTGAAAAGTTTTGCCAAAATATCCTTATATTACCTAATTTGAAGATGATGAATTCAAAAGTATCGATAAAAACTTTCCATCGCATAGTTTTTCCCTAAAATAAGAATGAAAATGTTTCAGATTTTATACATGTACGCATGTATAATAATTATATGTATCAGTTCTAATGCACTCATCAAAATAACAAAAGCAGTCAGTTTGAAAGAAAAAGCATTTAAAATGTATCATTTAACTTGTATAGAGTGGAGTGGAAAATATGGAGTAAAAAAAAAAGTTCAAATATTCAATTTAAAGCCCAAAAACTTTTTTTCACAAAACCTACAGTTATCTGTGTCTGTTTGGATGCAGCAAAACACTCACAGATGCAGCAGAAAACATCTGGCTCATGTTTGCGTTTGCTTTTTCCCCCGGCCATAATTCTAACCTTGAATTCAGCATTAGGCATAAAATAATGTCACATGTGAAAAAGGGCTGAGGATTGAACAAATAGTTGTAATCTGGCTCAGGGGAAGTTTTTTGCTGTTTAAAGGAAAATACTAGACTTCTTCACCTTATAAATGGTTGGCGTAAGCCAAAATGCTATGAAATTATTCATATTAAAAGAGAAAGTGTGACATGCTTGAGCAAAACAGCCACTATTTTTTTTAAAATCAGTATTGCACAATTAGTAAGAAACAAGCATTGGATTTCATGCAGCAAATATGATGCAGGGTGGTGTAATCTCTTTATAGAAATATGTAAGTATGTCTAACTTCATCTGCATGCATACAGTTGTACACTCATGTAATGCAATATTTACTATATAGCAAATCTCATCTGCTTGATTGTTTAAATTGTCGCAAAATGTAAACTCTAATATCCCCCAGCTCTAATCTGCTAAATGCAACTCTAAAGCATGAAGATATTAGGATATAGTAAGCATTCTGTAAAGACCCAGAGCGTGTTCATGTGGTCTTGAGGGTCCTGAGACGGAAATCCCAGGATGTAGAGTCCAGCTGTTTGCACGATGCGCTCTGTATACCCATCTCTGCCTGTCTGCAGGAGCTCGGTCCGGTTGGCCATCAGAAAGATCCAGTACGCTCCAGATAAAGGAGGCGCAGCTCCATCGGCCGAAACCACCTGTGAGTTCATCATGTCTGATAAACCGCTGCACATGCGGGTCAGTCTGGAGAAAGAGGTGAGACGTCCTGCATCATATCCAGAGACTCTTTTGACTTTTCGGCCTCTTTTTTTGATCTTTTTGACACGAGACATATTCAAACATATTGGTTAATCCTTAACTGAACATAAGTAAATCTGCTGAAATCGGAGATTGTTGGTCTTTCAGACGTATTACCATGGAGAGGAGATCAACATCAGCGTGGACGTCGACAACAGCTCCAACAGGAACATGAAGGACTTGTCAGTCTCAGGTACGTAAACACTTTGTCACTGTAAAACTGATAGGAAAGTGTGTTTCTGAGTGTTTTCTTTTACTCTGTGACAGTGGAGCAGGTCACTAATGTGGTGCTTTACTCTAACGACAAGTACGTCAAAACTGTGGCCTATGAGGAAACCACGTGAGTACAAAGACTGTTTTCAACATTGATAATAATCAGAAATGTTTCTCGAGCAGCAAATCAGCATATTAGAATGATTTCTGAAGATCATGTGACACTGAAGACTGGAGGAATGATGCTGAAAATTCAGCTTTGATCACAGGAATAAATTACATTTTAATACATATTCACATAGAAAACAGTTATTTGAAATTGTAATAATGTTTCACAATATTACAGTTTTTCTTGGTCAAATAAATGATGAACATAATTGATGAAAGAAATTCTTACTGACCCCAAAAGGTAGTGTATATCACCATACTTACCATATTATATATCACCATACATCATTAATATTACCCTGTGCAATATTACCCTGGCATTTAATTACCAAAAAAAGGGTCAACCTTGCTGCGATAGGATTTCTAATAGCGTTTCTGAGGGAGTGTTTCTTTACTGTAACTGCTGTAATCCATCTCTCCGCATTTTCTTCCTCTTCTGGAAAGTCGTGGGAACGCTTTTTCACTGTTCGAGGACATGGGAAAGCAAAAATGATATTACATAATCTCTCGTGTACCTCTATAGAAGTTTACCCTACTATAGTTTACTTGGATTTGAAAAGGGTTCATTTGATTTGTCGCAATGCATTCTGGGATTTGAAGATTACGCACTACTTAAGATTCTGGTTGAAATGAGGTATAATGATTTCTCAGATAGGATTAGGAATATTTTGAAGCTTTTTTATGTTCAAATGTAACATTTAGGGAGTCTCAGCTTTATGATGTCACTATCAGAATGTTACATATGTATCATTTGTGTTCTGATTCTGATGTCACAGGGACACTGTGCCGTCTGGTACGAGTCTGAAGAAGGTTTACACCCTCTGTCCTCTACTGGACAATAACCGTGAGAGACTGGGACTCGCTCTGGATGGAAAACTAAAGCATGAGGACACTAACCTGGCCTCCTCCAGCATGTGAGTGCGGATCATTCAGCACTGTCACAAATGATTTATCAAAGTTGTAAATAAGAATGAACGGAGTATGTTTACAAGATAAAATACTATTTTACATTTCTGCTTCAAAATTTCACATTTCGTTCAGTTACTTCTTGATTCTTTGTAATTTGAACAATTTTGACTCAGAAGTTGCAACAAAGTAAATCCTACACATTTTTTCAGTGTTCATGGATAATTTGATAAAACCATAAATGTTTTTGTCTTAAAGAAATAGTTCACCCAAACTGAAAATTTGCTTTGAATGTGCTCACCCTCAGGTAGTTTAAGATTAGGATGAGTTTGTTTCTTCATCAGATCTGGAGAAATGTAGCACTGCATCAGTGTCTCAGCAATGGATGCTCTGCAGTGAATGGGTGCCGTCAGAATGAGAGTCCAAACAGCTGATAAAAACATCACAATAATCCACAGTTAATGTCTTGAGAAGACAAAAGCTGAAACAAATCCAGCATTAAGATGTTTTTAACTTCAAACCGTTGCTTCCGGAGTTCATAATCCATAATAACACTTCTTCCAGTGAAAAAGTGCATCTCCTGTTGTCTCTCACACCAAAATCCTCCCACATATGTGTTTAGAGCTGTTTAAACGGTGCTTGATCTGTGCAGATTTCTCTCCTGATTCACACCAGAACACTTTTTCACTGGAGGAAGCGTTATTATGGATTATGAACTCCGGAAGCACCGGTTTGAAGTTAAAAACATCTTAATGCTGGATTTGTTTCAGCTTTTGTCTTCTCAAGACATTAACTGTGGATTATTGTGATGTTTTTATCAGCTGTTTGGACTCTCATTCTGGCGGCACCCATTCACTGCAGAGCATCCATTGCTGAGACACTGATGCAATGCTACATTTCTACAAATCTGATGAAGAAACAAACTCATCCTAATCTTTGACGGCCTGGGGGTGAGGACATTTTTAGCAAATGTTCATTTTTGGCTGAACTGTTCTATAATATTCTCTGCAGTGTAAAGGATGAAGTTCTGAAGGAGATTCTGGGCATGTTGGTGGCCTATAGGGTGGTGGTGAAAAGTAATGCAGCCGGGTGAGTGAACACGAGCTGTTTTGAGTTTAGGTTCATACATTTGTGAGCCAAACTAATTGGTTGAGGAAAGGCTTTGCTGAGCTTTCAGATGCTAACAGCTTTATTTCCACTATCTTACAGCATCATTGGATCCAGGTGAGTCTTGAATCCAGTAAAGTTGTCTTGACTTTGTGAGTATGTACGTTTGTAAGATGTAATTGTGTGTGTTTCAGTGAAGTTGCCGTGGAGGTTCCCTTCAAACTCATGCATCCAAAACCTGATCCTGGTGAGCTGATCACATTGCCAAACATGATTTTACATTCATTTTCATCACAGAACATGAGTTCAAATCATACCTCAGTTTCTACAATCATTTAAATTAAATGCGCACACAGTAATACTACAGTACATGGAGCAAATCTCACTCACATACATTATATGATCAGCAATGAATAACCAGACGTTCATCCACCTAAACTCATATTAACATACACAGGAAAATTTTAAGTGCTCATATTAACTTCCAATATATGTGCCAGTGTTATTTAGTATCATTATTAGTATGTTTAATTTTTATTTTTATATTTGCTGTTTTCGTTTTAATTTTAAATTTTTTGCAATTTTTTGCAATTTTTGTTTATAAATGTCTATGTAGATTTTGTACATTTTTATTTCAGTTTTAGTTATTTTAGTGCATCAAGTTAAAACTTAATGAAAATGTGAAAAGCTGCCTTTGCAACTAGCTGAAATAAAATGTATTTAAATGTATTTATTTATTTTTATATATATATATATATATATATATATATATATATATATATATATATATATATATTGTATTTCAGTTTATACACACACATATACATACATACACGCACACACACACATATATATGATATATTTATTTTTATATATATATATATATATATATATATATATATATATATATATATATATATATATATAGTATTTCAGGTTATTTTATTTCAAGTAAGAAAATGTTTTTATTTTAGTTAATGATAATAACCCTGATAAGTGCATTACTGTAAGCATGATTATTGTTTTTACAACCTAATGAGTCAAATGATCTTCTGAGGTCATGTAATTGTGAATTTGAATGGGATTTAAAAGACAGTTAATATTAAAAAATATTATCCATTTATATGCACTGACACTATCGGATAAGAACAAACATTGAACTGAATTGAAGCTGCTTTAGAGCTGAAATGTAATTTGTTATTAAATAAATGATGAATTTTACAACATTAACGCTGTCATTTTCCTGCTTTGAAGCAATCAGTATTGTATAAAGCACTACAGAAATAAATGTGACTCGACTTGATCTGATAATAACTGAGTCTTATCTACTTTCTTTTTTCTCCCTGTTCTCCTCGTCCTAAAGAGAGGTGAGAAACCGTTATAATTTTCCACTGTGATTGTCCATTATCTGGGTGTATATTCTGTGGGGTTCATGTGATCTTATGCTATATCTGTAATATAATACCCTCCATATAGAGTCCTCGTGTCTCTGATTCCACGTGTTGTGTGGTGTTCACTTCCCTGTGTTTAATCTGCAACATCGCGCACACTCTTGAGATGATAAACGATCCGCGCTGGCTCTGGGAAGGGAAAGTTGATCGCCGATATCGGTGTCCCATCTAAATGTGATCCGTCTCTTGTGTGGAGCCCCAGTTTAGCGTCGTTCTTTCAGTAAATCTGTTGTTAGTGTTCAATAGAAACTGTATTCTGACATCAGAACAGGGGTGTGTGTCGTTGACATAAAACACCTTTTTCCCTGTTTTCTGATTTACTGTTCCTCTTCGTCTTCACATCTGCGATTCTATCGCCGTTGATTGAGTTTCTTGTCTCTTTGTGTGTTTAGTGAAGACACCACTGACCTGGTGTTCGAGGAGTTTAAACGCTCCTATCTGAAAGGAGTCATCGGCGACGATGACGAATCTCCGGCTGAGCCTTGAGAGCCTTCTCCATGGAAAGTGGTCACAGACGACACGTATAAGTGTTTTGTGTAGGCAGACTTGTGCGTTTAAAAATTCATAAGCATTTATGGATGCATCTTAAAGGGTTAGTTCACCCAAAAATTAAAATTAGCCCATAAATTACTCACCCTCAAGTCATCCTAGGTGTATATGACTTTCTTCTTTCAGACGAATCCAGTCGGAGTTATATTAAAAATTGTCTTTGATCTTTCAAGCTGTTTAATGCCACTCAGCGGGCACGTATAAGTGTTTTGTGTAGGCAGACTTGTGCGTTTAAAAATTCATAAGTATTTATGGATGCATCTTAAAGGGTTAGTTCACCCAAAAATGAAAATTAGCCCATAAATTACTCCCCCTCAAGTCATCCTAGGTGTATATGACTTTCTTCTTTCAGACGAATCCAGTCGGAGTTATATTAAAAATTGTCTTTGATCTTTCAAGCTGTTTAATGCCACTCAGCGGGAGTTGCATGCATCAGTCCAAAAGCAGTTAAATAAAAAGCGCCCATCCATAAAAAAGTGTCTCACACGGCTCCGGGGGGTGAACAAAGGCCTCCTGTAGCGAATCGATGCGTTTTTGTAAGAAAAATATCCATATTCAAACGTAATAATCACTTTAATGTAGCTTGCGCTCACTGTTGTACACGGAAGCAGCTCCGGCAGATGACGTATGAGGTCGGCGTTGCGCATGCGCCGCAACTTTGCTTCCTTTGCTCCTGTTAACAGCGCTGACCTCATACGTCATCCGCCCGGAACTGCTTCAGTGTACAACTGCTGGCGCAAGTTACATTAAAGTGATTATTAAGTTTTGAATATGGATATTTTTCTTACAAAAACGCATGGATTCGCTACAGGAGGCCTTTGTTCACCCCCCGGAGCCGTGTGAGACACTTTTTTTTTATGGATGGGTGCTTTTTATTTAACTGCTTTTGGACTGATGCATGCAACACCCGCTGAGTGCCATTAAACAGCTTGAAAGATCAAAGCCTTTTTTTTTTTTTTTTTACTCCGACTGGATTCGTCTGAAAGAAGAAAGTCATATACACCTAGGATGCCTTGAGGGTGAGTAATTTATGGGCTAATTCTCATTTTTGGGTGAACTACCCCTATAAGGTTTGGTAGATGTGATGTGCCCTAATGCAAGAATATTTTTTAAGCCAGGAAAGAAAAAAACAATTGGCCAAATTACCATTTATCCTGCAGTCTCGATATATTCCTTGCAAATAATTATGGATATTGTAGTTAAATTAATCATGGCCGCTAAATATTTGCATTTGGACATGTAAGAACCAAAAAAAGTCCCCCTAAAACTTCTGATAACATTATTCCAATTTAGATTAAAAGGCTTCTTAGAATACTGAAATTATAACTCTAGAGCTTTCAGTAAGGATAAACTTTCTTTCAGATTTGTCACAAATGGATGTATTGCACAGTAAATTAGTTGCAGTGTACATTTTTAAAGGTGCAAATTCTGTTGTTCTGTTGTTATTTGCTCTTTAAATGCTTTGAGCTTTAATTAAACTATTTGTGACCGCAAAACAGCTGTGTTTACATGATCTCTGTACCAAAGGACTGGTCATTTTCAATCATTTTCAATCATCAAAGACCTGTAGCATATAACGTGGTAAAGTCTTGTAAAATTAGTTTATTTAACCAAAGACTCTCATGGCCTGATGGAACACGACCCTACATTTAACATATGGCAGCAGAGATAAACTCAAACCTTTTTACCTTTAATGATCTGTTTCAGTTGAGCAGCATTTCTTGTTGCATTAACAATAATAAATCTATTTCAATGCTTATTTGAGTGTTGTGTTGTCTATATACTATTATAGTTTTCATTCATATTTTTAATTGGTTTTCATTTATGTATATATATATATATATATATATATATATATATATTAGTAATTATAGGATTTCAACTTATTACAACAAACCTTCAAGTTTTTGTCAGTTAGTTGCCAAGTATTTTTCATATTTTATTTTATTCAAAATTATATTATTCAAATAATTTACAGTATTCACAATTAGTCACTTAAAAGATGTTAAGTTAGAATGCTGCCTAAGTAGACACTAGAAGCAAGCCAGCTAGGCCACTAGGTTTTGGAACAGAGCTGTTGTATTTTAAAATTCATTGGTCATTTACCAGGTTTTTTTTCAGGTAGTGACTTGTGGATCTTGGGTCTGATCAAAATTAGTTCGATGGAACTAGTTTGACTAGTCTAAGTGGAAAAACAACCAAAAACAAGGAGTCGGATTAGTAGTTTATTGGAAATATAAGGGTAATCAATACACAGAACATGAGCATGAACATGTTGTGTTGTCATAATGTTGCAGGGTCATTGCTAAAATTCACAGCGACCAGGACAACATTTTTATGGGTGGACCCCCTCTTCCCTGGACCCATATAGGCAACACCATAAGAGGCTTCCCAACATAATATTGTGTGTCTGAATAATCCATACTCAGTAAGCCCAAAGTAAAGAGACTCTCTTTCTCTCTCTCAAACAGGTGTTTAACACTTCAGTTGTGACACCTCTCTTTATTGCACCTCTCAAATGCTTCTCTCCACTCACCTATCTTGAGACACACACACATGCACCAGCCCACCCAGTTTTCCTGTTCTCACTTTTATTCACAGTGTGTGTCCACTGAATAGCTGGAAGGATGATATAACAGCTGATTGGTGCGTTCCTGCTCAGTTTTCATTCTTTACAAACATCCGGCTGAAAACATATCTGTCAAGGGGGCAACCTCCCGACTGATCCACCTCACTGTGTATTGATGGGGGCATAATACAGCTAATCAAGTTACGAGACATGCACTGTGAATAAACAGCGCACATATCCACCTGGAGAACTAAGTAATTCCAAACGTGAACTAGAAGGCCCTGCTTTCAGCCAAAGGTTTGCTTCTACATACAAACTACATAAAGTGGACTTAAAATGGAATCTACATGTGGAATATTATAGAAACACTAGGGGTGCAGGTTGAGGTTGAGAAGTGGATCATTTTAGAGGTTTGGTTAAGAGTTTAGGGTGCGGGTCTAGAATGTAGGGTGTAGGTAAAAGTTTAGAATGTTGGGTGTGGGTTACAATTAGGGTGCAAATCCAGGGAGTTCATAAAAGATTAGGTTTAGACTGTTGGGTGTAGGTTTAGGGTGCAGTTAAAAGTTTGGGTGAAGGTTCAGAATGTTGGATGTAGGGCGTAACAGTTTAGGGTGCAGGTCCAGGCAGTCATTTAAAGTTTAGCTTTAGAATGTTGGGTGTAGGTTAACAGATTGGGGTACAGGTGTAGGGAGTAGATAAAGTTTAGGTATAGAATGTTAGATGTAGGTCTAGGGTGTAGTTAAAAGTTTGGGTGAAGGTTTAGACTGTTGGGTGTAGGGCGTAGCAGTTTAGGATGGAGGTCTAGTGAGTCAATTAAAATTTAGGTTTAGAATGTTGGGTTTAGGTTAATAGATTAGGTTGCAGGTCTAGAGAGTAGATAAAGTTTAGGTATAGAATGTTAGATGTAGGTCTAGGGTGTAGTTAAAAGTTTGATTAAAGGTACAGAATTCTGGGTGTAGGGCGTAGCAGGTTAGGATGGAGGTCTAGTGAGGCAATTAAAGTTTAGGTTTAGAATGTTGGGGTTAGGTTAATTTTAGAGGTTTGGTTAAGAGTTTAGGGTGCGGGTCTAGAATGTAGGGTGTAGGTAAAAGTTTAGAATGTTGGGTGTGGGTTACAATTAGGGTGCAAATCCAGGGAGTTCATAAAAGATTAGGTTTAGACTGTTGGGTGTAGGTTTAGGGTGCAGTTAAAAGTTTGGGTGAAGGTTCAGAATGTTGGATGTAGGGCGTAACAGTTTAGGGTGCAGGTCCAGGCAGTCATTTAAAGTTTAGCTTTAGAATGTTGGGTGTAGGTTAACTGATTGGGGTACAGGTGTAGGGAGTAGATAAAGTTTAGGTATAGAATGTTAGATGTAGGTCTAGGGTGTAGTTAAAAGTTTGGGTGAAGGTTTAGACTGTTGGGTGTAGGGCGTAGCAGTTTAGGATGGAGGTCTAGTGAGTCAATTAAAGTTTAGGTTTAGAATGTTGGGTTTAGGTTAATAGATTAGGTTGCAGGTCTAGGGAGTAGATAAAGTTTAGGTATAGAATGTTAGATGTAGGTCTAGGGTGTAGTTAAAAGTTTGATTAAAGGTACAGAATTCTGGGTGTAGGTCTAGGGAATAGGTGAAGTTTAGGTTGAGAAGATTGGGTGTAGGTTAAGAGTTTGGCTTACAATTGTAGAATTCAGGGTGTAGACTACGAGTTTAGGGTCTAAGGCCAGGGGTCTCCAACCCTGCTCTTGGAGAGCTACCTTCCTGCAGTCTTCAGTTCCAACCCTGCTTCAACACACCTATCTGTTACTTTCACGTAATCCTGAGCACCTTGAAGCTGTTGTGTTTGATTAGGGTTGGAGCTAAAATCTGCGTGATGGTAGCCCTCCAGCAGCATGATTGGCTGCCCCTTGTCTGGGCTGTAGGTGGTGGTTTAGAACGTAGGGGTTGGTTAAAGCTCAAAGTATACTTCACTTTTTTACGCGTACGCGAGGGACAGCGTACAGTGTGCGTGAGGCGAATTTCATCACCAAAATAGTACGCGCACCACACGATTTTTGTAAGGTCGCACATGAGCATTGAATTATTTTTGCAGTAATCAGATGTTCCACAAGGTGGCAACACTGTCCCGGGCCGTTGTTTCACAGTAGAAAACGAAACTAAAAAGACGAACAACAACAACAACAGATGGCTGCATTGACAAGCGTTTGTGAGCGAGAGGGTATGTGATAGCTCACCTTTTGTTTAAAATAGTTTTGTTAAAAATATTTGTTATCGGCCATACTTTATGGGGAAAAATAGAGCAGACACTAGACATGGATGAAGCTTGACTGTCCGTGTTCGCAAACAACATCAAATAGTGTATACTTTGAAAGGCTACGCGTTCGACTGTACGCATACACTAGCGTACGCTTAAAACGAAGTATACTTGGGGCTTAAGGGTTTAAGGTGTAGGGGAAGTAGGTAAGGTCTCTGAAATTCCCCAGGAATACGCTTCATCATTTTCCGGTGGATTTTTTTCAG